CTCACATAAAACCCTCATCCAAACGGGGCCCTAGAGTAAAGCAATCAAGGCCCTCTTGATGGGGTTGTTTAGAGGAATGTATCCTTCGATTAAAAACCTGATCAAGGCGTGTTTTACACTAGATTCGCTCTCTTGAGCAAAGTTCTTACTAAATACATACCATTGAATTGAATCAGTCTTGTGTTATGGATCCCCTAGTATCAATCCATAGTGCTCTATTGAACTTAAGGTATTCACTCTCATAGAATCAATGCAGAATCAATAATTTTGACTAAAGCATACTTGAACATGAAAAAAGTATAGATTGAATATGAACTTAAGATTATTAAGATAAATCACTCATACAATTATCCAATCAAGCAAAACATAGTTAAGGTTCGGCTAAATTACACGTTTGGTCACTCAAATTATACAAATATTTCACGTTTGCCACTCGAATTACTTTTCTTTCTAATTCGCCACTAACTTTACGAATCATTTCACCATTATTCACTGGCCGTCAGTCTCCATCAGACTCCGTTAACGCCGTCAATTTTTGATGATGTGGCAAACAGAGCTGCTGACTGGACTGACAGAAGGCTGAGATGGAATTTTTATTTAAAACAAAAATTAACAAAAAATAAAATAAAACTCATCACCGCCGGTCCTCCGTCCCCCTCTGCTTCTTGTACTACTCCTCGCCTCCCCACTGCAAATCCCTAAAATCAAACCAGGGGATCAAACTTCAGCAGGCTAAGTCGCCAAGACGAAATTAACCAGGTAGATGACCATTTAAGCGACATTGAGAGGTCTCCACCCAACCAAGCATAGATGTCTAGGTTAAAAACTAAAAACTCATGTAGGTTCTTGACAGGAGATGGTAGAAGGCTCGTCAAATTCCAGCTATTGGATAATCTCAAAGGAATTAATACTTACATTTCGACTTGAAATTAGATTGAGAAGCGGGAGAGTGTTTCTTCGATCACAATGGAGGGAGGAAAATATAGCGGCGGAACGGCAAGCCGGTAATTGAAGTGGTTTTCCTCGCCGCGGGCCGCCGTGTACTTGCAATGTACCAGCATCTTCTTCCGGTGGTCGCTCAACCTGTTCAGCACCCTTACCGTCACCGCCTCGGCCGCAGGGATCGCCTGCGGGACAAAACACAACAACCATGAGGTAACAGTGGGAGGATATGATTTCGAATGACGACGTAGGTGTTTGATTCGGGAGGTTGACCACTTTTAGGGGTTTAGATGAATGGTCGGTGTTTGATAAGTACCGAATCCCACAACTTATCGATTCCCCCAACCAAATCCAACTGCCCCCTCCTTCAATTCTTATCTCCGCTTGTCGGCCGCACGTCGTCCTACAAAACCCATCCCTTGTTGGTCGATTTTAGGGATTTGCAGAGGGGAGGCGAGGAGGAGTACGAGAAGCAGAGAGGGGGATGAAGAACCGACGGTGATGATTTTTATTTTATTTTTTGTTAATTTTTTTAATAAAAAATTCCATCTTAGTCTTTTGTCAGTCCAGTCAGCATTTTTGTTTGCCACATAAGCAAAAAGTTGACGGTGTTAGCGGAGACTGAAGGCCAGTGACTGACGGTGAAACGATTTGTAAAGATAGTGGCGAATAAGAAAGAAAAGTAATTCGGGTGGCAGACGTGAATTTTTTTATAATTTGAGTGACCAAACGTGTAATTTAGCGTATATTCCTCAAAACCTAATTGAAGGGAATACTCCATAGAGAAGAGAGAGTGCAAAAATTTTATGCAAATCTTCAATCTCCATCTCCAAGCTTGATTCTCGAGCTCCATTGGCAAAGGAATCCACAAAAATAGCTCCAAGAATGTTCCTAAGTTGGTCTCAATCTAAGGTGCACCCCTTGGGTGTTTGGGATCCAAAAGACAGCTCTCCCCTCTCAAAAACCCGGATGTATAGATTTATACCCACAGCTGGAAAAAGCACTAGTTAGGGTCAAATTATATGCCCGTGTAATTTTCCTGCCTGCTTGTGCTTTTTGGCAGACCCTCTGAAATGGTTGCACATGCTAAGGTTTTCCTATCATGATGTGCTTTTCATACCCATGGTCGTGAGAATCATTGTGGCTTTCTTTTGCTCCCTTTATTTCTCCAAATGCCGCAGAACTCTCACATTAGCCATGACCACACCCTAGGACCTGAAATTTGGCAAAATAGACACTACCTAGCTTAAAATAGGCCAAGGAATGATAATTACCAAGTCAAACAACCAAGAAATGAGGAGATAAACATATATAATTATGATGTTTTCAAGATTCCTCCAACGTAACCATTTGCTTGTCATCAAGCTAATGTGATTCACCGCAACTCACTAAACCTCCATAGTAACATGCAACTTCATTTGTCGGCAGCGGGTAAGTAGCAACTTATGAGGTCAGTCGAAGACAAGATATCTCCCAGCACCTCAGTGAGGAGTTTAGTCTTGAGTCAGGATTATGCCAAAAAGTAGAGCCAAGACAAAAAAACTTGTGAACGAAGAAACTCTCAAAGAACATGGGAAACTGTGGAATTATGCTAGGTACTCTTTCTTTAAAGGCTCAACCTTTCGAGCTTCAATGGGTTTTGGTTGTTCATTGCAACACATTATTTTTTTTTTTGAATTCAAGGGCTCTCTATCTCTGACAAAAGAGTGAGAGTATGAGATGCAAGTTCTGGGAAATGTGGAATATATTTTCTTTTTAGTACAAATATCTTTTGGGATCAGTACGAATATGTTTTCTACTAAGTACTATTCTCATTCTAAATACAAGTTGTAAGAATTACGAATACACAAATCACATATATTAAATATATTTTTTCAATACAAATATGATTTTTTCAATACGAATATGTGTTCAAATGTGTATTTTTGTTCAGTACAAATATGATTTTTGTTCAATACAAATATGATTTTTTTGCAACTAGAATATACATATACAACTTGTATACAATATGTGTAAGTTAAATTTTATTAGACACAAAAGGCTCACTTCACTTGAAATTTGCTTTTCATTCCGTAGGGGATAGATCCCATAATTCACTATCAATTTAACCTTTAATTTAGTGGGGGTATTTTTATTAGCCATTGGATAGAAGTGGAGGACTATCTTAGAAAAAATTCAAAAGTACCATTGCTTAAAAAAAATTGCAAAACTACCACCCACCCCCGAAAAATTTCAAAAATATCACCCTTTCTCGAAAACCGCCACCCCACCCCGCAGTTTACTCGAAAACCGTTGGGTGGGGAAGCGATTTTCGACCAAAACCGCTTGGATAGGGGGCGGTATGGTTGACCGCTCTCGGTCGGACCGTTCTGGCCCAAAACCGCTGCCCTACCCAGCGGTTTGGTCTATAAATCTTTTGATTTTGAAAATTTCTAACCTAGGTGGAAACTTTAAATGAGCTTATCTTTTTGATCGGGTATCCTCGTAGCGAATTTTTTTTTATTTCGCATAATTTTTCGAGATCTTGCAAACCACAAACTTCCGAAAGTGATTTGGTCTCGCTTTTGTCCGGAAAAAATGTCGTTTGCTACTCCGAACGAGTTTTTTCCGATTTCGTCAAACTTTGAAAAGTCATAACATTATGCTCCAAATTCCAAATGACATGATTTTTTTTTCATTTTGCATAACTTTTCAAAAACTACAACTTTTTGGAATTTTTCGGGGTTGAATTATAGTTTTGTAAAAAAAAAGTTAAACGATAATACTTTTGGATTTTTCCGCCTATCCTCGAGATATTAAGTGGTGCCGTGGTTAGGGGTGTTCAAACGGTTTGGTTACCATGGTAACCATATTAACCAGTACTATTTGGATAATTTGGTTTGGTTAATTTGGATAATTGGTTTGGTTTGGTTAAAGTTTTTAGCTTGTTTGGTTTAGGTGGTTTGGTTTGGATTCAGACACTCCTAACCAGTCAAACCAAATTAACCAGTTAAGTAATTAGTCATATATCTAACATATATTATATACACATACTTAATACTTTGCATAACCATTCAAGAGTTAATGTTCATCCCTTTTAGACTCATAAAATATAAAGCTCAATATTGCTCATATAGTGTATATTTGTATATGTAAAGTGTAGACCACAACATATGGACGCCTAATTTAGATAAATTTCATACATTATGATGGATGAAAACTTGAAAGAAATGTCATTTCCAGCCTATGATAATTGCTAAGAGACTAAGTCAATTTACACAAACACAACAATTCATTAACCCATACCATTGTCATAAATTTTTGTTAGGTGAATACTTCTATACTAATCGTAAGATAATTGTCTAAGTTTAATGTATTTTTGTTAAGGGTCAACTATAACTACGTGTTGATTTTTATGTTTTATTCATTATATAAATTGCGAATTGTTGCATTAACCGAAAATTTTTCATCGTCAATGATAATGTGATTTTATATTGGTTAATCTGGTTAACCAATTAACCAAACCGATTAAACTTTAGTTTGGTTAATTTGGTTGTTGTATTAGTTTGGACGGTTTGGTTATGATATTGTATTCCATGGTCAATGGAATTTAGCCTTATTTGGTTTGGTTATAACCATGGTAACCATTTGAACACCCCTAGCCGTGGTGGACCATATTCGGAGTGCATTACCCCTTAGCAGTTAGTATATTAGCTCTCAGCTCTTCCCGAGGTCGAGTTCCATATTAATTAATATATAAAAGCCTTGGTTACCACTACTGTTCATTAGTGGCACCCACTCTCTCTTCTGCGACTGGGCAAGCTCCACTCGTTTCTTCAGCATTCGACCATGTGTCCCTCTTCTCCACTCACACAAAAACACAGAACACCTTATTACCCAACTCACCGACGATTGAACTCTGGGTTTTCGCTTTATCCGGCGGACAATCAAGCACAAGTGCACAACCCTTACATGCATGCTTATTCATGTCCGCTTTTTCCTCTCTCAAACTCTCACCTGCCATGCTTTCCTTCCCCATGTCATCTTTTTTGAGTTTTTTTTAGCAGCTTTTTACAAATCATACGCAACCTTCCTTACCTCTTCTCTGCTTTTCATCAATCATCACACACATCCACATTTTAACAAACAAGGCTTTCTCTTCTTCCAACCATTTCTCTCCTTTACATCTACCTCCGGTGAGAAGAATCTCAGCGGACGATGAGAAGAAACTCGGCGGAATCCGAACTTCCTCTCTTCTCATCGCACCCAGCACCCCTAAAACACTAGCCATCGCCCTCTTCTGCTCCTGCCTTCTGCACGCCACCTATCCCCCATCTTCTTTCCTTTGCGACATCGACAAACCTGTTGCCCTTCTTGCAGATCTCTCTTTGCGGAATCCCTAATTCGCCATCCTTGGCTTCCACTAATATCACAAACCCCTTCGGTAATCAACTTCGCTCAGCAATTTACAACCCTCCTCCGAGCACCGGCGGGGAATCCCTTATTCTTTCCCCAATTCATTGCTGAGGAATCGCCTTAGATATGCTCTTTCCGTCTTTGCCTGCCCTTTCTTGCCTATGAGTAAAGAGTGCAAGAAGATCCATGGCTTGAAGAAGAAGCACAACAAAGAAGCTCCAGTCTCTCTGTTCACGAGAAACCGCCGAAGAAGAAGACAAGGATAGAAGGATTCGGTTGAGATGAAGAAGGGGAAGGAAGAAGTACGCCGCCATTTCTCCTCTCACCTCTCTCTGTGGCTGGAAAATAGTACGAGGGTAGGAGTACGAGGACAAGATGAGCCCTGCCACGAAAAAGGAAAAACAAAAAACTCAAATCTCCCCCATGTGTCTCGGCTCGGTTACTCGAGACTCGCGCGGTGGTAAAGTTCCTGGAGAAAGGTTGCACAACTTTGATTTGGGAAGCAAGAGTTCAGATGGTGGTGGCGAGAGCATCGGCCGGCGGGTTTCAGCCGGAGGATTCTGTGGGTGTGGACACCGACATCACTACGAGCAAGCTGGCAGGGAAGTTCTCGAGATATGGGGTCTGGGGGAATAAGAGTTCTGAGGATTCACATTCAGCTGTGGGAGTTTTGTGCCGGGTAAAAACGATTGATGGCAATTGCAACAATTGTTGTTCTTTTTCTCTGTATTTCCAGACTTGCTCTATCATGAATGTATTTGATTTTCAGTCTTTTCACCAGGTTTGCAGGTGTTATGGTTTGGTCCACTACAAGGAAAAAGGATCTGGGTGAGTATTGAATAACCCCTGCATACACTTTCATAATAATCTGATTCGATTGTAAAATTATATATTGTGGAGGTTCTTTGATGGATTCGTTTGCTTTTCTGTGGATTTAGGGTTTACGAGATTCTCATTGAAAGATGGCAATAGATATCTACGAGATTCATGGTGGAGAGGAACCATATAAGAGTAATTTTGACAATCTGCAACTCTCCGCAGAGTCCATCTCTCTTTCTCTTACGGTTTGTTCCCAAAATTTGTCTTTTCTATCCTTTTTTTTTTTTGGGTAATATTCGTGCTGCTACTGTCAACGATTTGGGGTTGTGCAAGTTTCTATATATGATTTTTACTTTGAAAGCCAACATCACCTCTCTTTTTTTTTTTGGCCTTTTTACATGTGTAACTATATTATTATAGCAAGTGTTCTTTCCGAGGCCATTATTATAGTTTCAACTGGAGCACTTAGAGTTAAGTTGTCTGAATATGATTGGGATGAATATTGGTGATACTGATTTGGAATTTGATTTTAGTTTAGTCATGCCTTTAGATAGCTCGATTTGGTTGCTGGCAGTAACGACAAAATTCAAATTACTGATGTGAACCATCTAAATGTTTTGGGTTTGCTTCTCACCTGCAGCTAAATGTGTCCTTTATTTTGGTGCAGTGTTTAGGCAGTTTAGCAATACAGCAATACTCCTGCTTATTACTTCATCGGGTGCTTGAAAAATACTAGGTTTACAAAGTGTAGTTGTGCATTTGACCATTTGTTTAGATATATAATGATTAGAAACCCTGCCAACTTCCCCGTTTCAGGTTACCCTCAAGCCTTGCATTTCAGTTAACATGGTTTTTAGATTCTATTTGGCGAACATTATATTGGTGATGTCTTATCTTTTTCTTTGAATACAGATCTCCTCGAATTTGTCTCAATTGCATATTAGTTGCTTCGTTGTTGACACCCAATATTGAGCTGCAATAAACGGTCACTTATAGAAAACTAATTTTACTCTTTAGCTCTAGATTCGACCTGTCTAATTGTAGATTACTTAGATAAGCCTGTAAGTTTGGATCCCCATAGCTTTCGTCAGTTAGCCAATCATTGCTTGCCTTTCTTGACAGAAATGGATAGAAGCAATGAGTAAAGAAAGTAGTTCCTTAGAAGAGTCGATCATCGGCATGCATTTAAAGATCGTTGCTATGTGATTTTTCTAAGTTTAAATCTGGTTGTATATATGGAAGGCGAGATAATTGATTTCCCTTTCCAAAGCAACACAGACAAGATTTGTTAGCTAAACCGTCTGGATAAACTGTGGTTACTTGGAAGTCTCTGAGAGCTATTACACTTGGTACAAAATTTGACGAATTTGCTGCTTCTAATCCTTACTCAACGATGCTCTGCTTTCAATATATTTTCCTTTCCTTTTGGTGCCAGAATCGGCTGGTGTTAGTAGGGTGCATGGTTGAAATCTGCCTTTTATCTCTAGGTAATGTTTGGTACAGATTCGCAAACGTGTACCTTTTAGTATGTTAAATAATTCTGACTTGATTAGCAGCTTATTATCATTCTTGAACAATTAATGGAAAGGGATGTGGTTCGTACAAGAGGAGATTGAAACAAAGAGACTACTTCCTCATGTGGAGGATGAACTGAAGAGCTGTAGTTAGGAGATAGCAACTGAACATAGGGAATTATGTCCTCTCTTATCTGAACAAGAATACAGCCAATAAAGGTTGCAACGGATTTTTGAGTCTTTCCTTGCTTGATTCTTATAGTATCGTACAGTTCTGCTAGGTTCTATAAATTGAGAAAACTCCATCTTGGCTTCAATTAACATGGCTCGAGACTCCAGACCTTTTTCCTGCTGTGTCTCAATCACTTAATTGTGATTTTAATTTTCCCCTGTTAGGTTGCTAACACAGGCATGGCGGTCTATTCAGCGTTCAAGAATATGTTGTTATTTCGAGAGTTAGGTCGGCTGATGGTTTGAAGTTTCATATTGAAAATGAAGATTACATTTACGAAAACTACACAAGGAACATTGTATACATTTGATGAGCTTGGTGGTTAATCCTGCTCTATTCCTCCCAATTCTGGAAGATTGCCTGCACCCAATCGTTGGTACACTAGCTTTATATGTTGCCACTTACAAGTGCTTACTCTTTAACCATGATAGGGATGCCTGCTACTTGCTGCAACGTTCCACAGTGACATATTCATGCCTAAAAGTTTGTTTCTTTTAGGTCATATAAGTCATTCTTGCTTTCTATCATACTGATACTTCTTACCTACAGAACCGAAGGCCCTTAGTGCGGTTGGCTATTATATACATGTTATCTGCAAAGTTATCCTATATTCTGTGTGCAACCAAATGTTATTGTTTTCACATCCTTGGCTGCTGCCATTATATGCTTCATAACCAGTTAGATTTATATGATTAGCCATCTTGAAATCCTAGGATACATCCTTGATGATTGTATGGTTGGTGTTCGAGTCGTCCTGTTGATTCCCGGATACGTTTTGAGTATGCCTTCCCATTATCCAGTGCTCATTCTCGGTTTTAGAGTTCTAATATACTGGCAATTCCATAGTTGTTGAATTGCTTGGCCTTTTGTTCTTTCTGTTCCGAAAAATAATACTGCTGCGCCCCAAGCTATATTCGGCCCACCATCTATAAAAACTGAAAACACCAACACAGCCTAAAAACAGGAACACAACCCACCAGCAAAGACCACCAATCCAACAAACACCGACTTCTCATGAGAAATAGAATGATTAACCATATTGGAGTTAACTTATGCTATGTTCATCCAGACAGGTAATATGTTTTCGCTTGTGCGCGAAGCGTAGCGAGCGGGTCCTTGCTAGCTAGTATAATATGAAAGTCAAACAATGTGAACGAAAGAAAAAAGTGGGAAGAAAATCCATCCAATACCAATTATACAATCACAGTCGTTGACCTTGATACTCAATAATGGTTATCTCCTGCAACCAGTAGTCGACATGAAATCTTTGATCAATGGACGTTCTCTAACCTGTAATACCGCATCTCATCGAAGTTCACCATCTACCCAAAATGGTACTTCCACCATTCATCCTTCTTCTTCGGCTCATCGTCCACCTCTGGATTTCCTCATCCTCCGTCGCCTCCCTCACATTCCAGAAACCAACCTTCGATCCAAACGACGCCACAATAACCTGCGAGGGAGGCGCCGCGGCCGCTTCCGGCGTCCTCAAACTGACCAACGCCCACCACAAAAACGAAGTCAGCCGGGTAACCTACGCCGACAAAATCCCGCTCTGGGATTCCGCCACCGGAAACCTTTCCGACTTCCGCACCCGCTTCTCCTTCTCCATCTCCGCCAAACCCGGCACCCAGCAGCTCCCCTGCGGAATCTCCTTCTTCCTCGCCCCCTTCGGCTTCCCCGTCCCTACCAACTCCGCCGGCGGCTACATGGGTCTCTACAACTTCACCTACCGGACCTATTCCCCGGCGAACAAAGTCGTCAATGTCGAATTCGACTCCTTCGTGAATGCAGTTTGGGATCCTCCGTTCCGCCACGTTGGGATCAACAACAACTCTATTTCCTCCGCGGTATTTGCTCCCTGGGAGGTCGATTCGCTCTCTGCGAACCCAATCGTGGTGGAAATCAACTACACGGCCAGCACCCACAATCTCTCCGTGTCTTGGAATTACGCCTCTGTTCTAGACCAGAGTTCGAGCCTCTCCTATCGAATCGATCTGCGGAAAGTTCTGCCGGAATGGGTCGCCGTTGGGTTTACTGCTACCACAAATCAATTCCCAGGGGATCAGGAGCTTTTGTGGTGGGATTTCAGCTCCACTCTGGAAATCAACCAAAAGGATGTGGCAAATGTCGAAAGGAAAGTGCTTCTGGTTCTTCTTGCTGTGCCATTAGGGTTTGCCGTAGCAGCAAAAGTGATTGCGGACGGAGTCGGTCGGAGCCGGAAGAAGAAGGAAACGATTGAAGGAGTGAGTTTGTTGTCCATCAATGTCGAGTTCTCCAAAGGCGCAGGTCCCAGGTGGGTTCCCTACAACGATCTCGTCTCGGCCACGAAGGAGGGTTTGGAGGGGTTTACCGAGGGTTTCTCAAGGATCTGGATATCCCAGTTGCCGTGAAGAAATTCTCCAGGCGTTCTGCACAAGTGATCCAGGAGTACATAACTGAAGTGAAGGTGATCAGCAGGTTGAGGCACAGAAATCTGGTGAAACTCATAGGCTGGTGCCACGAGAGAGGCGAATTCTTGCTTGTTTACGAGTTCATGCCAGAGGGTAGTCTTGATTCACACCTCTTTGCGAACTGTATCAGCACCGGGAGCCATCCTCTCCGATGGCCCGAAAGGTACAGAGTGGCTCTGGGCTTGGCCTCTGCTTTGCTCTACCTTCATGAAGAATGGGAGCAATGCGTGGTTCACCGTGACATCAAAGCAGCTAATGTCATGCTCGATTCCGGATTCAACGTCAAGCTTGGGGATTTCGGGCTGGCTCGACTGGTTGATCATGAGCTGGGACCTCAAACGACGAGGCTGGCTGGAACCATTGGGTACATGTCCCCAGAGTATATCAGCAATGGAAGAGCTAGCAAGGAATCGGATGTGTATAGCTTTGGGGTGGTGTGTTTGGAGATTGCCACGGGAAGGAGAGTTGTCGATTACATCGAGGACGGCCTGGAGATGGGTTTGGTTGAATGGGTTTGGGAACTGTATGGGAATGGGAATCACAGTGTCGCCATTGACGGGAGGCTCGTGGAATTCGACGAAAGAGAAGTGGAATGCTTGATGGTGGTGGGTTTGTGGTGTGCTCATCCTGATTCATCCCAGAGAGCGTCGATCAGGCAGGCGATTCAGGTTCTCAACTTCGAAACACCGTTTCCAAGTCTTCCAGAGAAGAGGCCTTTCCCAGTGTTTCATGTGCATACGGCCTCGTCAAGTAGTGAAGAGTAGGGGTGGAAATCGGTACGGTATCGGTATCCCAATCCCAAATACCGAAATCCCGAATACCAAATTACACAATAAAGTCAATCCCAATCCCAATCCCTAATTAATTTCGGTATCCCAATCCCAATCCCTAAATATACCGGTATCCCAATCGGTACTTCGGTATCCCAATCGGTATTATCCAATACGAAATTAATTACCTTTATAATTAATAATTAAATATATAAATTAGATTTTATTGTTTAATTTAGAGAAAAAGACTAAACAAAGAGACTTGAATTAGGATATTATTAAGGAGAATGGAGGAGAGGAGACATCTCAAGTTCTTGTCATTGGTAATCTTTAATTCGACGAATTGGAGGTTGACAAACAACTATTAATAGTGATGGAATGATCTATGTATAATTAAATGACACTTTTGGTGGTTGAGGGTCGTATAGTAGTGAATGAGAGAGTCTAGTTGAGAGGGTAAAATACACACTAGCTGATATTTCGGTATTGATCGGTATTTCGGTATATACCGATCCCAATCCCGTAATTCCTAATACCGAATAACAAATGAAATTCAATCCCAATCCCAATCCCAAAAAATAATTCGTGTATTCGGTAATACCAAATATAGACAAATTCGGTACGGTATTCGATATATCCCAAATACCGGTACCAAACTTCCAGCCCTAGTGAAGAGTCTGACCAACCTTTGTTATCATATTCGACTATTGAATTGGATAGCAGGTGATGATTGAAGGTAATTGTCATATATGTCTCCAAGTTACTCGGGTTACACTTCTACAAATCATCAAATCATCCTTATTTATCTCATTTCCTATCGATTTAAATTGATACAAAATAAAACAATTCAAATTACCTTCTTCTAATTGGTCCATCTCAATTTTGTGTTGTCAAACGAGGCAATTTAATCAAATTGATTCATTTTGAAACAATTGAGTCAAATTGCTTCATACAATTTCCTCACTAATAATCTTGGAGCATGTTTGCGATTCCAAAAAACACTGAATAACACTAGGGTTCCCCCAACTCGACGACGGTGGACTCGTTATCTACGACAACAAAGATGACGGGGAAACTCCATGGCTAGGCGTTGGCGGAAAACCTTAAATCTCTTGCTAATCATGCATGATTGGACCCAACAATCATGAGATGAGATTGAGCTTGATTACCTGTTTCATTTCACTATTTTTGGATACGTTAATAAGTTTGTAAGGCTGTGACAAGTAAGTGAATGAAGTTGAACATGGTTATGCAATATGTAGAGTATTGCAATCTAAGTAATAAATTTCTTAGGTATGTCTAGGGTCGACTGGTCGTATTTCACAGAGCTTTTGATAATAACTACTCAAAGCTACCAATCTATGTTCGAATGATAATGCAAGGAAAATAAATACAACTAGCTTATGGCCCGCGCTATGCCGCGGAACAACTAAATTGTCGGGTGTATATTTTATATTTCGGTTTGAGTTGTATCGTTGTTTTGTAACTCTTGTATTTTATACTTTATTTTATCATCCATTATTTGAGTATGTTAATAATCTTGCTCGAACTTCATAATTCCTCATTTATTGTTCTGGCCATAAACATATATAAGAGAAAGAAACCACAATTATACTTTACATAAAGAAAAGTCAGTGATATGGTATTTTCTACTAATGTTGGTTCAACCATTTCGTTTCACTAAAACCGCCTACTACTTGAGATCTTAGTATTCGGTATTTCCTGTCCAACCACCAAGTACGGTAGGATTTCTAAAACATGGAGCTAAAAATACATAGTGATGCCACATCATGATATAAGAACAGCAAATTGACCCATCCAATTGCAAACAATTCATTCTTGGTTGTTGCATCAAGATCTTAACAAACATTACCATGAAAACATCTGGGTGGGTTGGCATTACCTTTGACAAAAAACGGTGGTTAATCTCACAAATCAATACTACAGACTAATGATAAGAACAATACTGGTGGAAAAATAATTAAGTAATAAGGAAACAAAATACCAAAACTAATTTTGCAGCAAATACATGCAGTACACCTTCAATGTCATTAGTTGTGGTTTGACCGAGGAAGAAGTTAGTCATAATTACTAAACCAATCCTCGGACAGGAAATGAGAATTCAAGAATCAACAGCAAAGCATTATCAATAGAAAGCTTCCCATGATAATACCATCACCGCTAAACTTCAAACATACAGCAAGAATAGATCAATGATCTTAGAAATATGTTTGTCATTAGTTGTGGTTTTTGATTGAGGAAGAAGTGCTTGAACAGGAGATGAGAAATCAAGAATCAAGAGTAACGCATTATTAACAAAGCTTCCCATGATACCCTCACCGCTAAACTTCTGACTTACAGCAAGGAAAGATCCGTGATCCTAGAAATATGTCTGCAGTACCAAAGTTCTAAAGAAGCAGCATTTGATGGAGATGTGCACCGTCCAACTTCTAAAATCATTTAATGATGTACAATATTAGATTGGATCCTGATCAACCCAACAACTATCTCTTTAGGAAGCCCTATACTCTGTCCTTTATTTTAAAAACTCTTGCAAGTTGCAACAGCAGAATCAACAAACATTAGTATATAAAACCTGCATGATCAACTCGTAATTTAGATCTAAGATATAACTTAAAACATTAAGATGATATCCTTTCATTATTAAGCAATGATAGACACAGTATGTGAATGATAAGCCGAAACATACACAAACCATATAAAACAAAGGAATTGAAAGCATCAATACTGTACTTTCAGCAAGCAGGAGGAGAATTGAGGTAAAATGTGTCAATAAACTGATTTTAACGTTTTTCAACTCAATGTGGAATTAGAGGATTTAGCAACAAACAGAGGCAATTCATAGTTCATGGTTTGCATTTTGATCTAAAATGTAAGCTAAAACAGAAAATAAATGAAGAAAGGCTAGAGAAAAGGTGCCATGAGAGCTTAGTGGAGATGTTTATTGATGAACATCAAGACAGTAAGAACATCCAATGGTGAATGACACAATCCACCATAAATACGGAGACTCAAGGCAAACATTAGATCGATCAGGGATGGATGTGGAGATCAAAGAACACTACTGAATGTGATCATAAGCATGATAAAAAAGATCGGTTTGCAGGGATATTCTGAAGAAGCCTGCCATCAACTTTCCATATCAAATTCGTTTAGAACTTTTTTGCCACACCTATCTATGAGTCACTACTCTCAAATCCAAACAAACTCAGGCAGACCGACCTATCAAATAAAGCACTACAATAGGCCGATAAGCAGAGTTTGAAAAACAAAGTAAGAAAGCATGATACAACTTGGAGCTGTTTGCTTCAAATAACAACTGTAGCAGCCTGCATATTTCCTCAAACATGACATCAAATTGAAACTGTCCAACCCGCAAAACAATATCTAGTTGACCAAGTAGTCACTGAAGAGAAATTTGGATAGGGGAGAACCTTATTGATAGAGCCCTTTTCGCTAGAAATCCTCTGTGTCGATCTTCCAACCTTTTGCTGGCAGCCACCCTTCCACCCAGCTGTAAGACGACAGAGCAGCCTCTTTCCCATTGCAACGAATCAACTCCTATTCAACGTCAAACTGGAGAAGAGGAGATTGGTCTGTGGCTGAGAAGGAGAGCAATTATCTTTGTGGTAAATTGCTCAACCCAATTTGGATACCGAGTCAATTGCAGGAAATTGGAATTCAAAGTTGGAATCTAAAACTATTGATACTTTCTGGTCCCTCTTCTCATTCATCCTCCAATACCCAATTTCATCGGCCATCAGATGGAGGGAGGAGCCATTTCTTCTCCGTCGATATTTGTTTTTAGGGATTCTCCGGGAATAAGACCTGAGATCTCGAACTCGATTCTGCCTAGTAAAGGGACTGTACTCACAGCTGCCAGTGTTCGCATGCGTGCCGCTGCGGTTGTTCGTTGGCGTGTTCATCAATTGATTTCGATGCTTTACGTCAGAGCAGAGGAGGAAGGGACCTTCCATTCTTCTTCGATTGGAATGGAGAGATGAGGGATCCGTCGGAAAGAGGGAATTGGAATGGAGGACAGAAGAGGGTTCGGATGGGAAGCGGAAAGGAGTGGTCGGACAGAAAGGACTCCTTCGTCGTTGTAGTTGTTCACATGCTTGTCACCGCCGGTCGGGAGGAGGAGAGAGGCTGGGTTGTGTGAATCGATTAGAATGGTGGAGAGAGGAGTGGTCGAATGGAAGAGGAGAGAGGTCAGGAGGGAGGCAACATAATGCGGGCGGTTGTATTGTATGTGAGTTTGGGATGGAAAGGAAGTTATATTTGATCCAACGGTAACGTTTGGCAAGCTAAAACGGTGAATTTGGGATTGACCTAGTGCTCAGCTAAATCCACCCGCAGCAACAACCACAAATCCCTTGGTGAACAGTTGGTTTCGATTTTTTCTCAATGAACAGTGCCACGGATTTTTGGCTGCTTGTACTTTTAATTAATTGATGGGTTGAGGTTCCCTATTAGATGGTTGGCACTACTAACTAAGCTCAACGCAAAACTAAAAAAACAGAAGAAAGCAAAATAAATGACATTTGTTTAGGGTGTGTCATCTAGATGATCATGCACACGTTGATCTATTGTGATCCCTATCCTTCAACCAAAGGTATGTTATTCGAGTTTTCACCACGTGCAATAAGAACTATGAGCTAATGTATGTTTTCGTTTCATGCCACTAGACTAACCAATCAAACAATGAAGTATGAATAACTCATTGTTATTCAGGCCTCTGCAAGCCTAACTCACTAAAACTACTACTCCAATAAATTGTTAAGTGCAACAAAAGATCGAAAAATAGTATAATAGAAGTGCAGTTTTAATTGTCAACCCAGGGTCGCTAAGTTTACTATTACGCAATGAATTACCTATTATCTAGCAAACATATTGTAATGATTACTAGAACTAATGAAGCATATCAAGTAGTTTGGTTCGAATTCATATATGAGAAAGCCACCCGAGTATGTTTCCCCCCAGTCCTTAGTTAGGCCTATGTTGTTTACTCCCTAGTTCATTTCACTCGCTACTTTTACAAAGGAGAGCCCGAAATTCATATGAAATCTCAACTAAAGTATACCAAATCCTCTTGAATAGACTATCTGGAAGGAGATTATCCTTAGTCGGAATAGAATACCAAGGCAATAAAACAAAAACTCTTACTAGTAGATTGAAACCCAGTACAAAAGCAGCGAACCAATTCACTATTCATGCAATCGATCCACACCAACCAGTTGAAGATACTCTATCAACCTAATGAGGTCTTCCCTCTCGTAGTTTGAAGCAATAATTGAAGGACTGCGATCAAGATTCAAAAAATTCATGAGTAAAACCTCAATTGGATAAACAATATCGAGTTTAACAAACCAAATATCAAACAACAATCATTCCTAACATACAAAACAAAGGTGCTTCGTACCCAAGTGAGAGCAAAGATTACTCCATATATATATAGAGAGAGAGAGAGGAAAACATGGGAAGAAGCAATCATCATCGTATACACGTCGGGAATTCGCTTCTTAATAAAATTATTCACTCCAAGGGACTGAAATTGAGCTCCAATGGTGAAAGGAAGACCCAAAATTGCTCCAAGCTAAGGAAGTTCTCTTCATCACTTTCTCTCTCTAGGACCCTCTAAGCTCATTTTCATAGGTCAAATTCGGATCCCCTTCAAAAAACTCGAGAATGACTGCAGCTGGCAATATCACGGGCAAGAAACATGAGCATGTTTCTTCTTTTCACCCGTGTTTCTCCAAAACTCATCGCCACTTAAGTTGTCTCTAGGAAAACACGACCGACCTTCTTCAATTTGCACGATCATGTTTCTTAGACTTTGACCATGTTTCTTCTTTGAAGCTAAGGTGCACATTACACAAACCAAAAGAGCTAAAACCCGACCAATGTTTTTTTGCTGCCCACGCTGGTTTTTTTTTTTCCAACGAAAGAATGGTTTGCTGCCTCCAGAAACACGGTCGTGTTTCTCCAAAGCATGTTCCTGTTTCTTCCTCTGGTTCATTCTTAAGTCACCAAATGATCTCCAAATGGCCAGAAACTTACACTTAAACCTTTCTTCACTTGCTAGGACTTGAAATACGACAAATGAACACAACCTTGAGTAAAAATGTCTAGGAGAGAGCAAATCAAAGCCAACCGATCAAGAAATGAGGGTGAAAACATATAAAATTTATCTAGGGATGGCAATTTTGACCTGACCCGATTTACCCGACCTGTTTGACCTGTTTTGGGGCGGGGCGGGCATGGGTACCTCTCATCGACCCGACCTGCCCTGACCCGCCCCATTCTCAACCCGTTCTTGCCTAAATTACATATAATCTTAGTCAAATTACTTAAGATTTTCCTCTTATTACATTATATTTTAGCTATAATAAAGTTGTAAATAAGTGAAAACCTCAATTTCTTCAGTAATTTAACTACATTTTATCATATTATGGTTTCTTTCTTGGTCTTTCAATGAAAAGAATGAATATTTTTAATGTTTTCCACATAAACTACATACCCAATGGGTCGACCTGCCTCGGCCAGCCCCCCGTGATAAATTACCCGACCTGGACCCGGTCTGCCATGGGGCTGGTATGGGTATCGAGATACCCGCCCCAGACCTGCCCCATTTCCATTCCTTTATTTATCACTTGTGAGAGCCATAGTAATGGTCTATGCTATCGATGATCTAGTATATCAAGCATCTATCTCATTCATACATAAAAGGGTGTACCTTCCCTATATACATGCCTAAAAGAGATTCTTACAACATAAGTTGGGTTTTCCATGCAACATATGATAGTAATAAAAACTATGACCATAGTAACATAAATAGATGATAAGAGCATAAGATTATTAAAGCATTAGATAATCAAATCATATGATGATGCAAACATTGAATGAAAGAGCATCTAATGGTCATAGCATGTCATTAAATCATAGAACATAAATGCATGAACCATCAAAGAATTCAAATCCCTAAACAATACTGACTAGCATGTCATAAGAGAAATAGAAGACATCACCATAGATGATGAAGCCATCGATGATGAAGGCATCCTCTCCGAACTCCTGCACAACTTCATCTCCTCTTATGGATTGCTAACTCGTGACCTCTACGACAAAGTGAGTGTGTAAATTTTATCAAACATCTAGATCTTGAGCTCCTATTTATAGTAAGGGGAGAGGTTTTCTAGGAGTTCTCCTCCTAAAGGTCGGCCAAAAGAGTCCTTGTACTACTAGGATGTGGATTTTTTGGTTTGGGGCAAAAGTAAGCATCTTCTAGAAGCTTTCCTAGCGGCGGTCATGTGGACCAAGTGACCTTTCCTCCAAATTTGACCACTACTTGTTGGGTTTAAACCCACTTTGGCCTTAGTCAATGGTAAGCCTTCTTCACTACCGAATCTGCTTCTCTAGACCATAAAGTGACCATCCGATGTTCAAATCCATCTCTGTTTGAGCCCAAGAGCTTGTATGTTTTTCCTCATGATCCATTGATGATCCATATACGTCTTGAGTGTATTATAACCTTGAAATGCACAAAACAATACAACAAGGTGTAAAATAGTACAAAAACACACTCAATTTCGATCTTAGGCACGTTGATCAAATAATAACGATATTTATATTAAACATAAAAAATATACTAAATATGCATTGATAGAAGGGGAAAATGTATAAAATATGGGAGTGATAAACACTATAATTTGAGTCTCATCAGAAATACCCAGCAGTTGAAATCTGATTGTACCCAAGCAAACACTACTCACAATCATACAACTCCCTGAAAACTAAAGCTAACATCAAACAACTATCTTAGGTAGTGGATCATAAGTAGGGCTGGGAATCCAGTCCCGGTTTTCTGGTCAAACCGGAAACCGGGCAGTTAAAACCGTTCCGGTTGTAACCAAAAATCGAATACCCATTTACCCAATCCAGTTTACAGTTTTAGTCTTAGTAGGGCCGGTCCAATCCGGTTAAAACTGGGAAAACCGGGTTGTAAAAAACAAATTAATCCTAGCCAGCCCAGCCTGCCTAATACTACTAAAGCCCACTACCCCAAGCCCGCCAACGACCCCAGCCCGCAACCAATCTCAGCCCAACCCTAATATACAGCTGGTACCCCATCCCCACTAGCCACACTAAGTCACTAACCCTACCCTAATATTCCAGCCGCTATCCCTCTGCCTCCCTCAATCCCCTCCAACTCCAATGATTAATCATTTCCTTCTCAATCTCCCAAATTCTCTCCAACTACCATAATCCCTTCCCAATCTCCTTAATCAGTCCCATTTCCATCTGCGTAACACTAGGCGCCGACGCCAACGAAGTTCATCGCCCTCTTTGACAGAGACTGCGACGGCAACGAAGGAGGCAAGAAGCTCTTCGGGTCCCCTACACGCGACGACGAAAAAGGAGGCAAAGAGCTCTCCGAATCCCCGATGCGCGACATCAACGACAACAGTGACGATCTCCGTCACTGCAGTGTTGGATTCGCGCCTCTGCGTTCTCCAATTTGGGGATCGACCAAAAGGCAGAAACAGAGGTTGTAGCCGACTTCTTTCTTCTGATAGCTCAATGTTGGTTTGCATGCAACAGGGGAGGGATTCCAGAAAGGAGATAAGGCAGTTGGAAGAAAGATCAAGAAAGAAGATGAGAGTAAAATTCTTTGATTTACTAAATAGAGAGAAAGATTGTGAAAGATAGGGAGTTAGGGACGGTAGAGAAGTGAAGGAAAGCAGAGATCTGAGTCACTCTTCTCATTTTCATTTACATTAATTTTTTTCCCACCAATTTTTCCTCAAACGACAACGTTTAGGAGGGGATTAATGTCAGCCCAGTTTTCGGTTTAAAACCGGATTGAATCCAATCCGGTCACGGTTGAAACCGGGTGTCATCCAATCCCGTCTCTGGTTGTGGTATTTGTCAAAATGGTTTTAAAAAACCGGGTTAATCTGGTCCGGTTTAAACCGAACCGGACTGTTTCCCACCCCTAATCATAAGTGAACTTACAAGCTCAATAATTACACGAAAGAGGACTCTCATCATACTATCATGCATGAAGAATAAGGTACTTATCTCAATCATAAACCACCAACCATACATGAGTATCAAAACACATAGGGTGAAACATTTGGAAAACGAATAGGAACTTGAAAT